ATATAATAACATACTCTAGATTAACACAGATAATATAATAACATACTCTAGATTATAATGACCTGATTATAAGTACCTGATGATGACAAAACCTTGTCGAAACGTTCTACATTTGCTGTCATGTTAAACTTATATTAAAGTTTTTCTTCATTACCCATTTAAGCCGTCTCCAGCCATTATTAGAAAAACAGTATGTCTCTCTGCAGAGACATGCTAAACAGTCAAGCTTAACATTTCATCAGGATCACAAAGATCGTGATATACACATTTATTTGTATGATAACGTTCTGAAAAAAGTGTATATATTATTATTTTAATCTTCTAGTTACGATTAGTTATTTGGTATCGACTTATAATGAACAGTGTTTTGAAATAGATTGGAATTTTTCAGCAAGTTTCACACTGAGACAAGGTCAAAGAACTTTCCTAGCGGGAGAGATTCAGTCCCACCTTCTACCGGTGACTAACCGCCTAGCTAAGTCCACGTGACTCACGGACATCGTTTGTTACTTTAGTGTAGCGTGACGCTGAATTTCACGGTAGGAGAGCCCAGAGCTTGGGTGTGGACCGACAAAAGGATGTTCATCGCTTGTATGATCTAACTTTTGTTCTTAGTTAGGACTTATGAACTATAATACCTTGGGCGATGCATGATTGCTACTATTGATTAGTGGCTTGCTGTTAACGAAACTTAGGTACTTTTAACAAGACATGGCAAACAGACATGACGTCTGCAAACTCCAGTGTGGCGTGGGGGAGGAGTGATTATTTGTTGTTAAATTAATCCACGTTTTTCTACATTGTGATGATAGATCAACAATAGTTAGTTAAATAAATAAAAAATTAAATAATACATAACTTTTCTGTTTTCTGTAAAAGACAAGCGTAGCTTACTTTATTACGCCTAGACAGAATTTAAAATGTTCTGAATAACTGTGTTAAGTGGAATAAATGACGTTATCAAAACCACGTGATGTATGACTACTTGTCAGCGTAGTTTTGGTCTTTTATCTTTATGCATCTAGCATTATTACCTAGAAAGTAGAATTAAAAACAAACAAATTATATTTTAAAAGAACCAATAGCATCTTAAAGCTAGACGTGAAAACTCCTGAAAGTACTTCTCTTGAGGCAGATTACAGCTCGATATTCCGAAGGGCCATAGCTCCGAATGACCAATATTCCGAAAATTGAACGTAAAAGCAACTATATGTGTAGGTCTAATATTCATTCAGGTTATTATCTTGCACAAGCGTATAGCCCTTCAAAAATGACAGGGCAAGTACTACCATCCCCACCCCATAGTATACCCTAACTTCACATTTCATAGCTAACTGAAATACATAAGTTTTGGGAAATCAAGCTTGACCAACGAAGAGGCAGAAAAGTGAAGTTGAGGCTTTTATGTCATGTTGCTTAGCAACAAAAGTATAACCTAATGTTGTTGTTAGTCTGTTTACTAAAAGTATAAAATGAAATGTATAGACAACAAAACTGGAAAAACATTTGTTAATTTCTTAATTCAGAGTCTCCCTTGACTAAAGAGGTTTTCTTTTATATAAAAAACGTTGGTAATATAACAGAAAATAGCTTAATTCAGAAACGATTTAAGTTTAAGGATGAATTGATATTTTTACTTTCATGATAAATTTTATGCACTTGGCTCTGGGCTAGGTGATCCCTCGCTACATCTTTACTTTAGGCTTATTATACCAGCACTCACTACGCTTAAAAGGTTTCACGGCACCCGTTCACCCCGTCACTAAAAGCGTAATGGGCTGACAGTAATCGAACTATTCTCTCTGGATAAATGCATTATGGCTTTTATGACGCCTATTTTGATAAATCAAGGGTAACGTACGTGACACAGACTGACTCTTATATAGGTTAGGTAAACAGAAGTACGTGTATAATGTTATATTCGGGACATAAGCCAATAACATAGCAATAACACTCCAGAGTACTTTATTAACCTGTAATGAAAGCTTTCTAATCTTTAGAAAAATTATGTCAAAATTTTCATAATGTATCATTATTATTATAATAGAAACGGGATGAAAAAGTTGAATAACGATAAAAATAATAAATTAAACTCCAGAACTGGTGGCAAAAAAAAATTCGAAATATCAATCTGTCCCAGGGCTGTTTTTAAAATTCAACAAGATTTATCAGCTTTTTGCTGATGATGAAGTTTTAATGCTAGAGCAAAGAGCTAGTGGAAGAACATTCTTGTCAAACTAGTAAAAGAAAGTATTATAATTGCACTTTTGCTTAAAGAGAACAAATCTGGAGCCAGAAAATTAGGACGAAAATGGCTATATAATCTTCCTACCATCATATAATGAATACTGTAAATAAAACGTTCAATACAAAAGCTAATCCAAACAGAACATCAGAAGTATAAGCTTTCAAAAGTTCAAACCTATTTGTACATAGATTTTATATTTAAAAATATATATATAGGTTGCTGTGTGAAAGTTAAATGTAGAAGTACACTTGTATTTACATGCAAGCATTGAAAGAGAGCTCAAGAAAGAAAAGATGGTACTCATAAATATAAATGTATACTTACATTCAGATATAGGCGTTGAAAGACAACTTGGGAAATAATAACAATAAAAACTTTTATAAAACATAGTTGTTTTATTATGTGAAACAAAAGTTATTAGGTAAATAGGAAACTCCATAAATGCAAACTCACAATAAAAAAGTTCCTTATAAATATAGAATTAGCATATTTCATTGAATGGTCATATAAAAGTCTGCAAGTCCTGGTTTCTTTACTAATTAAAAACAATAATTGTAAACCCAAAATAAAGATTTTCATCACATGTAATTTATGTAATCCTCATGATAATTCTTGTAAATATTTATGGGGAAGATTTATATTTATATATTAAAATACTTGTGGTAATAAAAAAAGATATAACTTAATTATGTGAGAAAAATAAAAGAGAAAATGTATGTCTAATTACATTTGCACTACATCTTTTTACTGAACAAAATATTTTATGTTAAACAGTGTCTTTATTGTGTGATAAAACGACATGGTATTCTTACCTTGTTAGTATATCCTGCTCAGGAAAGTGGTCTAGAGAGAATTGTTTTTTGTTTGTTTTTTGCTACTTGGTGCTAAATTCATGATAACAATATGATATGGCAGAATGCCAGAACAGAAGTTATCAGTTACATTGTTGAGTTTTTAAAGTTCAATAACCATAAAAACAACTGGATTTGGTTACTGGTCTTCCTATCATCATGCTTCCTTGCAAAATTAGCTGGTAAATTTGTCCATACTGTTCGAGACAGACTGAAATAGTTTTTTTTTATTGTGTAGGAAACTTACATTGTGTACAGTTATTTTACCTGATGCAGCACATAGCAGGTATATTCTCAGATAGAAGATAACCTTTCATTTTGTACAGATGCACAGTTATCAAATACAACAAACAGTAAATGTCAGAACAAAAGCTAGTTACATTACTGTATTTAATCTTTTAAAAAAAAATGTTTGTTTGTAAATCACATATTTATTGTAAAATGCTTAATATATATTGTGGATATCTCAGAAATCTACTGCAGTAGTCATCCTTTGGTATAATCTGTTGTAGAAAACACAGATACCTATCACAGGAGCTGTTTTTTATTATAATCTGTTCTATATATCCTAGAAATCTATTGCAGGAGCTGTCCTTTAGTATAATCTGTTTTATGTATCCTAGATACATATTACAGGTGCTATACTTTAGTATAATCTGTTCTATATGTATCCCAGAAACATATTACATGAACTATCCTTAAGTATAATCTGTTCTATATGTATCCCAGAAACATATTACATGAACCATCCTTTAGAATAATCTGTTCTATATGTATCCCAGAAACCTATTACATGAACTATCCTTAAGTATAATCTGTTCTATATGTATCCCAGAAACATATTACATGAACCATCCTTTAGAATAATCTGTTCTATATGTATCCAAGAAACCTATTGCAGGAGTCAAGTTTCGGTGTTATAAATTGTTGTAGATAATACAGATACCTATTACAGGAGCTGTCCTTTAGCATGATATGTTCTATATATATATATCCCAGACACCTATACAGGTGCTATCCTTCAGTATAATCTGTTCTATATATCCTAGAAACCTATTATAGGAGCCATTCTTTAGTATAGTCTGTTGTAGATAACACAGATATCTATTACAGGAGCTGTCTTTTAGCATAAGCTGTTCTATATACATCTTAGACACCTATACAGAGCCATACTTTATTATAATCTGTTCTTTGTATTCCAGTAACATATTACAAGAGCTGTCCCTTTAGTATAATCTGTTGTAGGTTACCTAGACACCTAGTGCAGGAACCATACTTTAGTATGATCTGTTGTAGGTTACCTAGACACCTAGTGCAGGAACCATACTTTAGTATGATCTGTTGTAGGTTACCTAGACACCTAGTGCAGGAACCATACTTTAGTATGATCTGTTGTAGGTATATCATAGAGCTCAAAATACTTTATTATAAGCTGTTGTAAATATCCTAGACACCTATTACAGGAACCACCATTTAGTATAAGCTATTGTAGATATCCCAGACACTTTTTACAGTAGCCATCCCTTGGTTTAATCTTTTAAAATATTTTCTTGACTGGTGTAAAATTTTGAATGAAGGCATAGATAGACAAGCCATAGTAAAAAAACTTCATCAGATGTCACACCCAATCAAAGAATGATAAAAACCATCCGCAAAGGTTACACTCAGTCAAGTTATGGTAAAATATTTCATCAAGTGTCACGGCCAGTGAAACATTGGTGAGAACTTTCCTCAAAGGACATACCCAGCCTGACAATGGTGATAGCTTTCTTCAGATGATGTATTTTGTCATTATCTATTGAATACCTTCCTCAAAGGTCACACCCAGCCTGAAATGAACTGTAATAAAATCCTTCCTTAAAGGACACATTGCTCTGTAAAAGCTTTGTAAAAACGTTACCTAAAATACATTTTCAATGAAACCATGGTGTTAAACCTTTCTCATCCAGTTAACTTATTGCAAAGAAGAAAAAGGTCAAGAGATACATTGAATGAAATCCTTATAAAAAATATTTGTTTAAAGGACACACTCAGTCTAATCTTTGAAAAATACCTTTAACATATAATTTAACCATAATAAATACCAATCACAAAGAACTCATTCAGCCAAAATATTGGAATAACTCTTTTAAAGGGATCATCTAATCTTACAACAAAAACATAATTCAAATAAAACATTTTTTAAACTTTTGAATTCATCAAATCTCATTAATATTGAAAACTTGTGTAAAGCAATTATGCAATTTACCATATTCCAATTTGGGGACAAAGTTAATATAAATATATTAATATTATTTTCAGAATGATTTTAATTACATATCATATATATCTTATTGTTTTCCCATTTGTACAGGTTATATCTAAATACGATTTCCAAACTTTGACATGAAATTGGATTAATATTCATAAATAATTTTATAAGTACTCAAACTGTGACTGACTCAAAATGATCGTGTTTTCAGATATACAAATATCTCATCATGCCAGGCTTATTTCTAGTGATAAGGTCTAATTAATTAGCAGCTCATTACTCTTATCTACTAGTATATCTGGAAAGAAAACAAGTTGTTCAAAGTTATTCTAAAATTCCTAATACAAGTATGCTTACATATTGTTTTGTAAAAGTTGCAATGTTCATTAATACCTTATAAACACTTAAAAGTTAAATAGCTAAAAAAACATTGTTAAATAGTTCTGTCATCTAGTGGAAGCAGAGAATACATTTATGTGTGAAAAAGTATTGTTTTTGTGAACAGCTAAACAAAAGTTACAAAACTCCTAATGAGTGCATTTCAATTGAACTTTCAGTTATGTAACAAAACTATAAGACTATAAATCAAATTTAGTTATTTATATTTATTCATCAAAGCCTTAGGATGTGTTGTATTAACAGTTAATAATACATCACTGTGCCAGGAAGATAAATTTCACTTTTGCTGCTTTAATTGAGGTCAAATTGCACATTGCTTGCTTCAAGTCCAATTTGTGCAGTTTCATGCTGGATCAACATCTTTGCTTGTCCAACCAGTCTTCATTGTGTCATGGTTGGTCTCAGGTAAGTTTAATCAATTTGAGTTTTAATAGCTTCTTTCTCATAGCAGATATCCCAGACCCCAGCAGTGCTACTTAGCCTAGTTTTATGATAATCTTCCTTCTGCATTTTATTAACTATATAAAATCAGAGAGGAGCTTTTTTTCTCCAATTTGAAAGTTCTTCTGTTACTTCGCAGTTACTAGAAAAAGTGCATCATTTTGATTCTATCCATAAATTTCTTCTTTTTTCCCCTCCCCAGTTGATATACCAAGGATCTATCAGTCTGTATTACTGATTATGCCCTTCAGGTGCAGTTGGCAACCCTGCTTAGCTGAACCAGCAATCTTGGTCTAATGAACATGTGGTCTGCTGGCTAAGCTTGAGATTAATATAATTACACCTAATATTTCATATGGCCTAAGCTGTCATAACAGAATGCATTGATGGTAGTGATTGATATGTGCCATACAAAACTCTGTAATTTATAATAAAAACTAATGATATACTTGGTAACTTTGCAGGAAGGTAAATCTGTATAACACATACAATATACTAATGGTAGATGTCAAAGACAGGCTCTTTTTCTATGCTTTATAAATCTACACAGAAAAATAAAATTCATAAAATTGTGGCCTGGATGTAAAGACTCGGGGACCATGTAATTAATCTGGAAATAAACAGGGTAAGGCTGTTACCATCTTTGTGAACCTCTCATATTCTATGTTGAACTTATATTCTAACAAGACTTGCTTGTTAGGCCTATTAACACTCTTGGTAGATTTCTGCAGTTATTTTCACAAGTGAAGACTTGTATTTGAGACAACTTGGATATAATCTAAAATGTTAAATCTTACTTCAGTTCAGCCTATTATTAGAGCTTGTTGTTTTCCTCCTTAAGATTTTTGTCATTGTAATTAAAATCAGTAATAACATGTCATTTTTTTCTTCATTTTCCAATATGTTGCCTTGCATTTTTTCTGTAAGTTTATATTGGTTTTATATTTGCATTAGTAATATGCATTGGAGCATTACAGGTTGTATATTTTACTTTTTTTCATAGATTTTAGGGAACATCTATATGATAGATCTGGACTATAATTTAAATGGATATGTTAGTGTATGTATTAGCTAATTTTATACTTACATATATGTATGTTACAGTTAGAGAGAGATTGAACTAAATCTCCATTAGCAGATGAATTTTGTAAATTGTAGACTAAACAATTTTCACACAATTTGATAAATTAATAAATGTTCTGGTGTGAGTAGTAGTATTCTGACCAAGCAGGGTTCTAAGGACACATGGCTAAGATAAGTATGCAGATATTCCTGGTCATGTATTCTTACTTTGTTTATCTAGATGTTACCTAAGTTGGGAAACATTTACTTGCTTGATATAAAGAATCATCTGTGAATTGATCTACATTACCAGTTTTCTGTAACTGGCTCTACAGTATACTCCTATTCTATGATTACCATCTAACTGTGGTTTGATTGACTGAACAGTACAATATTTCTTCATCTTTGTGTGCCTCTTATTTAGTTGGAGAGTATACTAATTTTATCAAATTGCATGTGCCTCTAATTGGCTTGACTATACATGTATTCTTGTACTTCATATAGGTACACTCTTCTTACAACTCTTTGCTTACTGTGAGATGTTTTTGAGCCATTCGCAAACATCAATTAATAAAGGATATGATAGATCAAGAAAGTTGGTTTCACTACTTTAATGTTGACGTTAACATTGTAAGAAAATGTTATTTGCTGTGGTTATTTGGGATATGATTAAAAATGAATGAAGTGAATGAAGCTCTTATGCTATGGATAAATTGGTTGAAATAAATCATGTTAGGATATAAGACATAAGTGTAGCTGAATAGCTTCAAACAGCTCAATACAATAAAGCAATAGCCTGCATTATTATCTGTAGTTTAAATGTGGATTACTTGAATTAAGTAATGGGGAAGGAAAAAAAATTATACACCTTTTTTTATTTCATCCCTGATTTGTTAGCCAGTGTATAGATTCTATATTTGAAGTTTTCCACGAAACTCAGTAATGTGAACATTATAGAGCATAATTGATGGAACTTGATTATTCACAAAAACTACACTGTTGGTGGTATGGGAACTTGTATCAGTGAGCTGTGTTTTGTTAGAAAGGTTATGAAACAAACTGATGCTAACACTATTCAAGTTGATCACCCCATGATATGGAAAAAATATGGCTAATTTTTACAATATTCCAAAGTAATTCTCACCATATAGGATGTGAGTTGCACTGTTTTTTCTTTAAGTACACACGCTTTTACCTTGACACATTTTTCTCATTTACAGGTAGTTTAAATTTCATCAACCTCCACATTGTGAAGTAGGAAAAACAAAGTGCTCTTTTGTTAAAAGGAGAAGTAAAACATGACCTATTACTCCAGAAAGCATAATTTGTCTTATTTAAGCCAACATCATCTAGAAAAGGTATAACAAAGCTTCTTACATCCTTTGTACAAGCCGTCCATACAAGATAAAATAAAGTCCCTTACATGTACTAACCTTTGTATAGGTCTTATGTACAATGTATAAGAAAAACTCTTTGTATGCTAATCTTATACAAATCAGCTCTATAAGATATAAGAAAGTTCCTTACATCTACATAGGATATTAGAAGCTGTGTAAAAAATTTAAGAACATCTGATTAAAAGTAATCCTACTATATAAATCAGATTTAAAGTTAGTCTTAGGTATGTTAATGTTTTTACATAGGTCAACTGTACAAGAAATGGAGGACACTTCCTTAATGGCTCATTGATGACTTCTTCCCTTTTTCTAAAGTACATAATCTTGAAGAATTCAGACCTGACTGTTCAAGGAAAGTGTGTGTCATAGTAGCATGTGATCTTTCTCTTCTACACTAACTTACTTAGCATGAACACTAGACCTTAACATTCTTGTCATCTCAGTCTGCCAACTTGGATAGTCTTAAGAAAGCTTTGTACTCTTTTATAATTATCTGAAGTATTTGTTGAAATACTTGTCCTGCTTACATACAACATACGTAGTCTGTAAAATATGACTTGATCATCTAGAAATAGATAGCAGTTACTAGTGGTAGCAAGAAGTCCTTTTTAGTAGTTGTCAGTTACTGTCACATGTTTTTAAGGCACAGCTGGTTTCATGTAAATATAATGTATCTTTTTGTGAGATGTTATGTTAAAAGCTAGAAGTTAAGTTATAATAAAGTGTTACATGGTTTAATGCAATAGAGCATATTATATTAAAATATTAAAATTCATAGTGAAGATTCAACATAAACATTTTTCATTATTCTGGGTGCTAAATCGTTTTCATTTAATTCCCTCCTACTATGGTTCCTTTTAGGTGTTTGATGGCTAACAAATTAATTCCCCAGTCAGTTATGAGAAGCATTAGTTAATACTTTAGCCTAGTAGTTTCATAGAAGAAGTTGAGTTGGATATATAGAGGAACATTACATGTTGGAACAGATCTGGAAAGTTATTATTTTAATCAACTGATCTTAAATGACATTGCAGTTAAATACAAAAAGGATTTTATGGACATAATTATATGTGTTTTGAAAATTACTAACATTGATTTCAAATTGCATATACATTACTTTATATTTTTGCTAACTGAAGTACCTGTCCCCTGGATGGAAATTATGTAAATTCATTATTAATGAAAGGTTGTCTTAGGACATGAAAAGTTGCTTCCCTCACATGTAATTGTAAAAACACCCATAAAAACCTCAAATCACAAAATGATAAACTGAAAATTTGTATGTATCTCCCCATGGATCCAACAAACCTTCATGCCAAATTTGGTGAAGATCCATCTACAGAGTGCAATGTAGTAGGAAAAAAAATGACAAAATAGACAAAATTGTAAAATTTGTATGTATCCCAGCATGGACCTAATGAATGTCCATACCAATTTTGGGGAAGATCCATCCACACCCTGCGAAGTAGTTACATGGACATAAAACAGACAGTACTGTTATATTTATATAGATAAGTCATACTTATGAAAAGTAGTTATTTTTTTCAGCACTTTTCTGCCAGCCAGTTGTACCTTCAAACAGTATTGTTACTGACTTGAAGCAAATGATCAAGATGTTGACTGAAAAGTCTGAAGTAATGTTTTGTGTTTGTATTTGAGGTTAGAATAAAAGTTAATATAAAACTACTTTTCAGATGTACAGTAGCATACATGTTTCTTTGTGTATGTGTGTGTACATAGCAGTGGATATATAACTAGATTAGAAACTTCTTAGTCCTGAACAATTTCCATACAATTTTCTTGAACCAAACAGCAAAAAAAAAGCAAATGTGGCTTTTTATTAACTTAACACATGCAGTATTAAATGACTCTCTATCATAAAATCTTGAGAATTCTGTAATTTAAGAAGTTTGTATCACTTCAGAATGAAAATTTGAAAAATTAGTATTATTGTTGTGTATAGAATTTTTTCAAGCCATATTTTAGTATATTTTATTTCCTGTTTTATTGCATTTCTGTGAAATTACTTCCTGACTTTCTTGCAGGATGACTCTGACAACCACAGTGTAGAGATTGATCTGGATGAAGTTCTTGATATGGACACAGATATCACCAGAAGACAATGGCTTAGGGTGTGTAGTACTTGTATGAAATGTTTTAATAGGCTATAAGATGTTTTGAGAAACTTATCTTAATTACACATTGTTAATTCTGTCAACACAAAACATTCTTATACAGAGGTTGAGTATAACATACTAAGACAACTTGGAAGCCTCACCACATCATTACATCACACATAACCACATCTGATCATACTTTATCTGATGACCATCCATCTTAGCAATAATCCTGCAGTGTGATTTCCATTGAAAAAAATGCTCCACCATAAAACTGTCATGTCCAAAGCACACCATTTGACCCAGCATGCTTTCCATAATCTATCTAATATACGTACAAAGATAATGGTTTTTCCTGTGCAAATTCAAACAGTTAGATAGTTTGAATATCTATTTCATTCTTCAGCTGCTTGTGGTATACAACAGTTGAATGGAAGCTATGACTGAAAACTTTATCTTGGTGAACTCATACCCTGTTGGCCTTGTTTCCAGATGGAGATCCTTCCTGATTATGTTCTGTACTGTTTCCTAAGACACGTGGACAGCTTTTGTTACCAACTTTTGTGTTTGTAGATTCTCACCTGTTATAAAATACTATATTTTGCTTACTATGGCTGAGATATGTTACGTATTAGAATTTCAAATAGCCTAAAATGAGTTAAATGATATTTTTAAATTTAGTAGTTAAATTGTACTTTGGATTTAGTTGAGGATCCTTCTAAAAGATCCAGCTCCTCTAGTTAAAAATCTTTTGACAGTCAGGATAAAACTTCTTTAAAAAAATCAAGGCCTGTTTACCATTTTTGTAAAAAACCTGGTCATGTTATGTCTGATTGTTGATGTTTGAAAAAAACAAAAGAAAAGGAGGCAACACCCAGTGCGTTTGTGTCCACATATGGGCATAGTTTCACCAGATCACCTGATGTTGTTGATTTGGCCACTGATATAAAGGCTGATGTAATCAGAGAGGAATTTAGACCTTTTGTGTGTGTAAGTTCTGTGTCTTTGGCAAATGACACTGGCAATCCCATAACCATATGTATTCTACGTGATACTGGGGCAACTCAGTCATTGTTGTCAGAAGGTATATTGCCTTTAGATTCAAGTTCCGCCACTGGTGAGTTTATTATTGCTCAGGGTATTGAGGGTGGCTTTGTTAATGTTCCTCTTCATAACATTTATTTAGTATCATACCTAGTTTCTGGACCAGTTGTGGTTGGAGTAAGACCTACTCTGCCAATTAAGGGTGTATCATTATTGTTGGGAAACGATTTGGTTGGGGGAAAAGTTGTTGCCGAACCTAAAATGGTTAACAAGCTAATCACTGTTTCATCTAAGGATAATGTTGACAATGAGGAGAATTCCGATGTGTTTCCCTTGTGTACTGTGACTCGAGCTCAGGCTAAGAAATTATGCCAAAAACAAATGATAGACATGGATTCAGAGGACGATATTATAGATTTGTCTCGGACAGTTTTTGGATTCGACGGGGATCTTGTGGATGACTGACCTACTGACAATACCTCAGTGAGTGACAATTATGGACATGAGGAATCTGATTCACCTGGTTAAGTTCCGTTTACTTAAAGTAAACTGATATCTGAGCAAGAGAAAGATCTGCAAATCTCTTCACTATTTAAATGTGCACTCCCAAGAGATGAACTGGAGAAAGTTCCATATGGTTATTTTTTCAAAAATGGTGTGTTTATGAGAAAATGGAGACCACCAGATGTGCCAGCTTCAGAGGACTGGGCTATAGTTTATCAAATTGTTGTTCCCAAAGCATATCATTCTGAAATATTGACAGTTGCCCATGAACTCCCCATGGGTGTGTGTCAAAACTATGAGACATTTCTTGTGGCCAAAAATTAGGCAAGATGTTTCTCAGTTTTGTAAAACTTGTCATACCTGTCAGTTAGTTGGAAAGTCTAACCAGAAAGTTCCTGTTGCTCCTTTGAAACCTATCCCAGCTTTTGAAGAACATAAGTTCAATCCTGGTCTTAGTATTGTTACCCCACTATGGGGATATCTAATCACAAAAAGAAAAAAATAACAGAAAGAAGGCAAGAGAGAGAAAAAGAGAAACAGAAAGAAAGAAAGGAAAAAAGAGAAACAGAAAGAAAGAAAGAAAAGAAAAACAAAACATAAGACTTTTAAATTGCAGTTTATCACTACAAGAGTATGATTTGGGGATAATCCATGTCAAGGGGGTTGATAGCATTTGTGCTGATGAGCTTTCACGAGCTATGTAATTTTATGATCATAAGATTATTTGTATTAATTGTATTCTGTACTGTCATGATTATTGAAGTTTTGTAATCTTTTAGATAATCTATTATATGTTTGTGAATGTATGTCTGTTTGTTTGTTTGTTCCCAATAGAAATTGATACGAATCACTCTAAAATGTCAAAATAAGTTCATTAGGACAAACTTTTCATCCAGAATGTCATGAACACATTGGATTTCACTTTCAAGGCCATCTGAGGTCACGGGGAGACAAAATAAGGCAAAAACTGGTGAAAATTACAGTCTTCATCATCAAAAAATGGTGAAAACACAATGAAAATGAATTTGAAACATACTACAACTGCCCAAACATGTTCAGTTTGCATAACAGCTATTCATCACCTTGATCAATTTCAGAATGTCAGAAGTTTCTAGAATGTTCAGAGTCATCTTCAAACAAAATTTCCCTTCCACTGATTTCAAAACTTCTAGAAGATTCTAGAGATCTCTCTATGCTACCAATTCAAGCTCCTAATTTCAAGACTTCTAGAAGATTCTAGAACTCTCTCCATATTACTTGAATGTAGCAGATAAGGCTATATAAGGCCTGCATTCAATTTTTTCTTAAGATTTGTTGATATTAAACTCAAAGATCTCTCCATACTACTTGAATGTAGCAATTCAAGCTACTGATTTCAAGACTTCTAGAATATTCTAGAGGTCTCTCCATACTACTTGAGTGTAGCAACTCAAGCTATATAAGGCCTGTATTCAATTTTCTGTTTCAGATTCGATATTAAACTTCCAGCAGTGATTGTTCAATAAGTGCCACTGCTGTACACCAGTATTATACGAAAATCCACCTCAAGATGGGACCAAAGAAATGAAAAAATATTGGCAGAAGCTCTTCAAAAGTTCGTAGAGTTTGAGAAACAAGGGATCAAGAGACAGCAGAGGAACATCAATCTCACATCAGTGCACAAGCCTCCAGACAGGCACGTAGCAGGCAGTGGAAAACAGAAGAGCAGTGCCAGGCCTGCCTCAGTTCTCAGGCCTCCAGACAGGCATGTAGCAGGCAGTGGGAAACAGAAGAGCAGCACCACACCCTTCTCAGTTCTCAAGCCTCAAGACAAGCAAGGAGCAGGCTACAGGAAACAAAAGAGCAGCACCAGGCCTGCCTCAGTGCTGATGCCACCAGACATACAAGGGGCAGGTTACAGGAAACAGAAGAGCAGCATCAGGCTCACCTGAGTGCTCAGACCTCCAGACAGGCAAGGAGCAGACAGCAGGAAACAGAAGAGCAGTATCAGGCTCGCCTCACTGTTGTTGCCACCAGGCATTCACAAACCAGACAACAAGAGTCTGCTGAGGAAGAACAAGCAAGACTCCAAGCAATGTGCACAAGAACTGCCATGCAAAGGGCATCACTATTTACTGTGGCCAATGTGCTAAATGCTGCATTCAATTACATAGCTGACATTGATTATTCTTCTATAAATGCAGTCAAAATTGGTTCCATGTCAGAACTATGCCAATATTGTGGAGCAAAGAAGTGGAAGCGTGAAACGCCATCAATGTCTTGTTCCAAAGGTAAAGTTAGCTTACCTCTACTAGCCAAGCTACCACAACCATTGAAAATGCTGCTCCTAGGTGACACACCAGATTCAAAACATTTCCTAAAGATGATAAGAGCCTACAACTCAGCATTTCAAATGACATATTTTGGAGTCAACATCGTTCCCAAAGGGGGATTTATGCCAACATTTAAAGTGCAGGGACAAATCTACCATCACATTGGATCACTCCAACCTCATGCAGACGAACATCCACAGTTTCTACAACTCTATTTTGTGGGAAAAATGCTCCTACTTTGGACTACCAGATAGTGATCAATGCTGATAAATGACATATGGAGAACATCATGACCGATTCAATGAGCCGACTTGCAATGAGGTTACCTTGGTCATGAATGGCCAGGAACATGGAAAAAGAGACATTGTCTTAAAACTTTGAGATAACACTATAAAGAGGATAAATGAGACACACATAGATCTTATGATGCCCTTCAGTATCTGCTTATCTGTATGCATGGAGAAGATGGATACCACTTTGGAATTACACAAGCTCAAAGAACAAAAACTGTGTCATGCAAAGATTTCTATGCCTACAACTTCATGATTCGAAATAATTACTTCAACCATTTGCAACGTTGTCAAGATCTGTTCTAACAGTATGCTGTTGATATGTATGCCAAGGTGGAGACAGAAAGGTTGATGTACATAAAAATACACCAACAAGAACTGAGTGTTGACTCCTACATTCATCTTAGAGATAGCATCAATAATGATGAAGGTAGAGGCATTGGTCAGCTGTGCATTCTTCCATCCTCTTTCACAGGAAGCCCAAGATACATGCATGAACAAACTCAAGATGCCATGACCTATGTCAGGACTTATGGAATGCCAAATTTCTTCATCACTTTTACCTGCAATCCTTCTTGGAAAGAGGTGAATGATGAGCTTTTGGGCCAAAGATTTCCTACTTTTTTATGAGTTGCATCATTTTGATGAGTTTTTGTCGAAAAACTCTGGCCAACAAATCTTGTTGGTCCTTTGCAGACTGTCCTTGGTACACGATGTGACATGTACACTATAGAGTGGCAGAAAAGAGGCGTCCTTCATGCACACATTCTCATCTAGCTAAAAACAAAGGTCCAATCTAATCAAATAGACTCAATTATCTCTGCAGAGCTTTCAGACCCTATAAATGACCAAAGCCTCTTTGACA